TCTAATGAATAACTGCGCAGCGAAGGCCTTCTTCCTTTCACCAGGAAGGTTAGATTCCTAAAAGTAATCACTGAATGGCCGAAATCTACTGAGTCCCTCAACTCCGCAATATGCTGACAAGACTCACAACGCCCCCTCAATATGCAGCGTGTGGCAGCCTTGTATCAAAATCAGACAGCGCGAATCAGCGTTGGACCAAGACCAGTGTCCGTCCAATAAAAATAACCTGTGGCCGTTGCATATTTGGCACTCACGCTTTCGCAGTCACTTGTTTGGACTAAAGTTGTTGTGTTCCTTATCGGCGAGTCTTTTTCCGGCTCTGGGCGCTGTAGCGTGAGCAGCATTCAGCTACAACAGAATGGCGATTCAGCAGACATAATAGTCGACGATATGAGATTTGTAAAGTTTCCACTGGGAATTTATAGTTATTGACAAGAAATAGCACTCGCCAGCCATACTGCCACTTGCGCTGAGCTCACTAGGCCTGTCTCATATCGATTAGAAGTGCGCAACCAAATTCACGTGACCAAAATCCACTAATAAAATCGATGGATTTCTCCTGGACCTCGTCACCGGTTAGCTTAGGCAACATTTTCACGCTGTGTGCTGTCAATTGTGCTAATGGTTATCGAAAAACGCATTCCCCTCAGATTAGAAATTACTGAGTTTTCATTCTGGTTGGTATTAACTTCGACGCAGTGTACATAATATGAAGAGTTTTGCCTCATTATTCACAGTGTCATGGTCGAACTCATCGGGTGGTCACTGTCTGTTGAATATGGTTTTCTTACCCAACCCAGGCTAGCTTTACTTGCGGGTATATTTGCATTTTTCGATTTCACTTTTAAAATATGTGCATTCAAGTGCTGTGCAAACTTTTCGACTTCTAAGCTTCGTCATTATTTTTCGAAATAAGGATGATGGGAAAGAAATCTCCAGGTTCCGTATCAGTTTTCGTTAATATAGTCGGTAGAAAAACTAGTGGGTATAGTTCTCTGATATCAGACAGGTGAGCAAAACAAAGTGCAGAGATGGTTTTGATCACTCACTTCCAGAAGCGCGACCGCGCTTTGCTAAAACCAAAAAATTAGACCAGTCTGATTAGCTACTCTGGATTCCGGGTGTAAATCAATGAACCATTGCAATAAAATACTTGAAAAGTAGAGAACCGGCTAAGCATAGAACGAAGAACGTCTCAGTTGGGAGAAGGCATATTTGTTCTTTGACTGATTAGTTTAGTAACCCTAAATTTTTAACAGGAACCGATCAAATAGGGGAGGCCATATCCGATTAGTCCAACGAGGTGGGTGCACTTCACGGAAAAAAATCACAATGAATATCAAGCTGGTAGATGGTTTTTGGTTCATGCCACCAAGAAGATATGTACGCCAAGAAGTCGGAAAACCTGAGTTGCAGGTAATAGATAGTTTCATACCTGTGAATTAGTACTAATATTACCTATGAAAAGAGCAAAACCCTCTGCTGCAAAGTTACTCACTGGCGAACACGAACCAAGTGGTTAAAAACCACTGGACATGAAACTAAACATCTCATGTGCATAGAGGTTTCAAAAAGTGAACGCCACTTGAACTTTTCTGCGCGTTCTTTGAACTTTAGACAATGATGAAGGAACACTTTCGAACAGTTACAATTTCCGCAATAAGACTGAGTTTCCGTCAGATACGTGGGCGTAGGCTTGGCAACGTGAAACAGACTGCTTATTAGTAGTATACACTGTCACCCTCTTGCTAATTCGCAACTCATCATTTCATGGTAACGAAGGTGTTTATCATTCTGGATTAAATGAAGTTACATCGAAACGAAAGCGGCAAGTACGGTCTCGGCAGGATCACCTTTAGAGTCATCTTTATAGTCATATGGTGAACACAAACTCCACATCTATCTATCTATCTATCTATCTATCTATCTATCTATCTATCTATCTATCTATCTATCTATCTATCTATCTATCTATCTATCTATCTATCTATCTATCTATCTATCTATCTATCTATCTATCTATCTATCTATCTATCTATCTATCTATCTATCTATCTATCTATCTATCTATCTATCTATCTATCTATCTATCTATCTATCTATCTATCTATCTATCTATCTATCTATCTATCTATCTATCTATCTATCTATCTATCTATCTATCTATCTATCTATCTATCTATCTATCTATCTATCTATCTATCTATCTATCTATCTATCTATCTATCTATCTATCTATCTATCTATCTATCTATCTATCTATCTATCTATCTATCTATCTATCTATCTATCTATCTATCTATCTATCTATCTATCTATCTATCTATCTATCTATCTATCTATCTATCTATCTATCTATCTATCTATCTATCTATCTATCTATCTATCTATCTATCTATCTATCTATCTATCTATCTATCTATCTATCTATCTATCTATCTATCTATCTATCTATCTATCTATCTATCTATCTATCTATCTATCTATCTATCTATCTATCTATCTATCTATCTATCTATCTATCTATCTATCTATCTATCTATCTATCTATCTATCTATCTATCTATCTATCTATCTATCTATCTATCTATCTATCTATCTATCTATCTATCTATCTATCTATCTACTATCCTATCTATCTATCTATCTATCTATCTATCTATCTATCTATCTATCTATCTATCTATCTATCTATCTATCTATCTATCTATTATCTATCTATCTATCTATCTATCTGTTTATCGATCGATCTATCCACCGATCAGAGCTCAATCATCCCCAGAGCTAACGAAAGTGCGGCTCAATCGAAATGGCAGTCTTTGACGACATCAATCGTTGCATCTAAAATCACTCAATTCAAGTTCCAACAAAACCGCCATTAATGATTGTGGTTAAAATTATGTAATTACGTCAGCAGCGTAAAAGCCCAAATAATGTACACAATTTCAAGGCAAACCAATATCTGTTCTGTTTTGTAGCCTTTTTTGTTTAAGGGCTCCTGAACAAAGGCAGAAGGCATTTCACCTATTCCGAACAAAGACTGATGCCAGTCGGTTGCAGTTTTGCTTGTGTCTGGAGCTATGCAAAACAGCGGCAGGCACTCTATTGGAGAAAGACTGAAACCAATTTGTACGCCATCGAGTAAGTTTGATGACATATTGTCAAGTACATGGCAACTACGTCGGATACGTCAAAACTCCAGGAAATATTTTGATCGATTTCTCTCACATCATCCTTTGTCAGCCGCTTGCTAGAACGTAGTTTGGCTCATGAAGCCTTCAGTGCACAAACCATTCGAAGAGTGAAACTAGGAAACAACTCTGACAAGATAGGATTTTGTAAGTAACAGTTTCGTGAAAGAAACTTGCCTGGCATTTCAGAAGCCGCCGATGTTTCTAAAAAATAATTTGGAAGAAATTTGACCGTATTAGGAATCGAGGGATGAGTGAAAAAACCAGTCGTCTTTCCGAGACCCCAAGTTGTTTACAAAACGCACTGATCTAAAAAGTTTACATCTAAATGTCTCTCTCTTTCGTCATGCACTACTCATATTGCACTCATAGTGCACTACTCAGCAACTCTCCAGTAACCTTATGAGTAGTGCATTACGAATATGCATGTATCGCGATATCTCGGATATCGCAGCAGCTGAAACATCAGGCGGCCTGGGGCAGCACATTCAGTTGCTTGGAAACAGCACAAATGGGCGATTCATTGGGGTTCAAGATGAGCCTCTCGCAAAACCAAATTAGTTTGCAAATGAGTGAATTTCGCTATTTTCGTGCAATTTGGTTTCAGGTAGAAACTCGGGGTCTTAGCCTACCGAAACCGTTCGTTGGCTGTCGGTGAATTTTCAGGCTACCTTATGAGTAGTGCATAACGATTCAAGCTTCGATTTTTCATATTGCCCACCGTGGTAACCAGCAACCCATATCACGCTGTTTTGCGTCCCATCATGTACACCCATCCTATAAGATTATAGAGTGCAACGTGTAAATTTCCGTCTTGACATCAACGTCACTGTAATCAGCATCATAAAGTCAAATTGTGCTATAAAAATGGTACTCTTATGCAGTGCATGCCTCAAATGGAGTATGCCATTCATACCGAAAGTTGCTGTGTCTCGTTTGTGGATGCGAATGCCACCTGGCGTCAGAGTAATTTATGCTACACCATGTTGTATTGCCTCGACCGTTGCATTATCAAGTTAAATGAAATCAAACACATTTATACATTAATGCACCAACAAATTAGTCGATGAGAACCAACAACTGGTTTTCTGTATTCATACGCATTTGTCTGGGTACCGTGATCCACGTTTGCTCGTGATTCGTGTTTCCTGCAAGCGCCCCTATTGGTTGCCCGTTTGCCCTTGTTGTCTGTTGGCCGAAGTGTGCAAACTAGTCCTAAAGCCAGGGTATTTGAGCTGTCTATCAGAATAAGTATTGGGATGCTTGTCAAAACGATCGATTATGTACCGTTCGTTCAGTGAAAACACCATTTACAGTCACATGAAGAGGGATCCTTCAACTACGAGAGCTTCATCATTGATTAGGGTAGGACCGAGTAAAGCAAACAGAGGCATATACGTGGACCTATTCTGAATTCGTTCAAAGGCAACGCGCTTTTATTTCCCCCCAAAGAAACCCGAAAATTGGGACTTTAGACCTCAAATAAACAAGAAAAGACACATTAAATTTGAAATTTTGTTTACGAGGAGGTGACGAATTGTATCTAGACCGAGTCGAAATAACTAGTCTGTTGTGGTAGGTGAGCAATCTGGCACAACTCACTATTCGCGTCAAACGCTCACAGCGGTTTTCAAGACCCCTTTCTAGTGCACTTGTATAGAACTCGCAACAATATGTGGAATTCTGGAGGATGAACTGACGTATTTCACGGGTAACGTAGCGACACTACCACTCTTTTCGCCACCTTTATAAATGAACATCGATTTTCATAAATATATGATGAGTTTTCCTGTTTTTTTCCTTGTTAAGACAGTAAAGATCCCAAAGGCAGTGAGTGCATCACTAAACAGGTGAGCACACTTCAGTGATGTTAGGTGTATGAGGAACACAAAACTTACGGAAATCTCAAAATATATTGTAAACATGTTAGTATCCCCGTTCTAACAGAAGAATTAGGTTTGACCGGAAGTGGTACACAAAACCTGTTGCATAGAAGGATCTAGTGCTTGGAAAAAGCAGTTAATTTGGTGCATATTCAACATACCTCCCTCTTGGCGTTTCCTAGGCCGTTCTGGAAAGAGCAAGGCAAACGTACAGATCAACTGATAAACAGCAGTATTCCGGTGGACATTAAGCTCAAAGAGGCTTACTTTAGTGCTTTAGAAAAAAAGTCGTTTCCTTTTACAGTGTGGGACGAGATGGACCAAGTGGGTTAGAGTACGAATTTACTGGCCGGAAGGTCCGTGGTTCGAACCCGGCCTTTGCCTCTCGACTTCCCCTATCTAGGCTTGGACAACCTGGCAGTATCTCAGCCCTCGTGGCATGGTAGCTAGGCACTGAAAGGGTCCTACAGTTGAATGGTTTATTCTTATATTATTTAGCAGTGTGCTTTAAATTTTCAGGTACCTATCGAAACACTGACTGATTATTTTACGTACAGACTTTTTGTTGTCTTTGGGCAACAGTGACATCCAAAAGCTAAATGGCCGTACATTGTGACCTTTGGTTTTCAGCGATCAACGAAGGGTTTTGTATGCAGCCCTGTTATTTCGTGCTGTAATACTGTTATGTCTTCAAAGTATGGGCTTCCTGGGAGGGGATCCCTCATACCTGTCGGACGGATGCATTTTCAGTGAATATCCTTTGAATACGGCACCTTGTATTGTACGCGCATCACTACGGCGCGCACTGATTTAACCTCCAATGGTGACGAAATATTTGCAAGCTAGTTGCCAAGCTTTACGAACGGAACAGTGACCACCTATTCAACTACGATGAACTCACCCGAGGTTCCCACACTCCAGTGCGTATCAAACTAATAAACTGGCTAACTACGAGGGTAGCTGGGATACTTTTCAGTAAAAAAAAACCTAGTCAAAAAATCAACACACCTCAGAGTCAGAGTCGTATAAAGCTTGTCTAAACAATCGAGGTACATTTAAGAGTATTCTGGCCCTTTTCTGGCACATGCAGAACCGGCTCGTTACAATGCTGACATTCGAAAGTAACCTTGTCGAATACTTATAATGATTTTATACAAAACAACGGTAGACATGTGTTCTTACTTTTCGTACTCTGTGTTTTTCCACCTCTTCCTCCTTTATGATGTAAGAGAACAGTAGAAGAGAGTTTTGCTCTCAGAACTGATTGGATGAAATCAAATTTATGCAGGTGTTTTACCAGCCTGGAGTGATTACTAAAAATATCATTGCCAGTTATAATTTCGTGCGTGATTCACTTCCTCCAGGAGACAAGGTCGAAATCCTTAGTTTTTGTGGTACCAAATTAAGTTCGAGGGAAAACAACAAACTCATTATCAATTGAGATTCCATCCTGTAATAAAAGTAAATTTACGAGGGAGAGACGGGAATAACCGTTGAGTTGTTGATCCTTATTTGCAGTCAACGTCACCACGGATTGCTTGAACCTTAAATGAGTTGTGAACTTGCAACCTCCAGGCCACGAGTTTAAGTACGAGCGGCTGTCCAGCAGTATGATTGGCTATCGGGACATCCTCCAATCACAGAAGCCATATCACATGGCCACGTGCTGACTAACTGGGACGGCCGGTCAGTACATGACCACGTGATGTGGTTTCCGCGACTTATTCCCAATTGTAGATCAGTTAGTGTGATTTGCAGAATGTCCTTTTCGTTTGAATCAGCGTTGATTTACGAGAACTCGAATGAATACATTCCTCAAGTGATAGCGTTCGCTGAATATTTAACAATATGGTTCTCCAAAATGGCTGCATTTGCAACAGGCTTTGCAGATTTTGAACTTGATGACAGGTGATTTACTTATCTTCAACCAAAAAGGCACCCATGTGATACTTGGCGTCCCTCAGCTAAAAATTATCTGCACTACGCGAGTGGGAATTGTGGGTCTTATTCGGTACCGTTCGACATATTTGTGCTGTAAGCTCCTAACTGATCGAGGGTCATTCGCAACATCAGAGAAAGGCCACTGATCGCACTGGCCTCAGCCTCAGCGAAGCGACTTTTAACAGTGACGAAGCCTTTCAAAACGGATGCGCAGTTTGAATAGCTTTGCATGAGAAATAGTTAACTGTTCTACACTCGGCAGACATGGTCCATAATCAGGGTGGTTGGTGGATAAGGCTTGTAGCAAGTAACATCAGTTTGTCACAAATACATTCAGTCTTCAGAAAAGTTCCTGGTACACTATGGTATTTTGGAGAAGAGCTTGCCGAGTCTGCCTTCTTGGTCCGTCAGGAGGAATTTTGAATATATCAAATTGTTTTGTCTAAGGCTCCAACTACTTCCACTTTAAAGATTGACCCGGGCTTTGGGCGTTAGTATACACTGTGCATTTTGGGTGATTGCTTTTCACCAGAACGCTAACTTGGGAGGTTGTAACCGAGAAATAAGCTGAGGAACCTGCTGTTAACACGATTCTACATACTTCGCAGGTTGCACTGGGTAGGACGTGTCCTTTACAGGCCAGTAGACTGCCTACCTCAAGGTTACATGCTGAGTGGAAGTGACCGATAAACTTAGAGTTAATGACCGGTCAGCGAAGTACGGAAACACTAACCAGCAAAGTGAGTCTGGTTAACAATTGCAAGTTAGCTCAACGTTTGTGGTGCGAATTTACTGACCGGGAACTCTGTGGTTCAAACCCGCCTCCTGCATCTCGACTTCTACTGTCTAGTTTTGGGAACTTGGCAGTTTCCAAGTCCTCGGATTTCCTTCCCATGGCATGGCAGCTAGGCACCGAAGATGTTTTTACGTCAGAGAGTCTTAGGACCATACGTGGAATAAAAATGGTTCCATCATTGAAACGTAACTTGGAGTGAAACTCCAGGTTGTTTAATAGACGGCTGGAGAAAGGGGGTCTTTGCAGATTCCCGAAAAAAATGAGCAATGCTGAACTTAGCGTTATCGGACTTCTTCAGCACACTCACTGAGTTTAGCTGTTTGAATGCAAGTGATGAGTGTTCTCAAAGTAAGTCTTGAGATGGGAGAAAAGAGATCAACAGCCACACAGACCGATATTTCACTGGTACGATCCTCGTGCGTACCACCGCAAACGCACGAGAACAAGTGCTCAATGTGCCGTACTGCAAAATATTCATTCCATTGGTGGGAAATGTTCCGAAAACTCTGAATGACCTCTAAGACGACTCACAAAATCAAGCCAGCATACATCGCCACTTACTGGTTGAACCTTGCCCCCTCACTTCCGCAACCACTTCAGGGGCTACAAAAAAGGAACAGAGTTACGCAAAATAATCGCGCTGCGATTGAAGATTCAAGATATGATCCTTGACTGAATATCAAACTAAAACACTTTACCGTCTACGAGAAAACCCTTAATGTAAGTTGGTCGACAATTGTATACGACCACGCACGCTTGCTGTTCCAACCAAATCTGGTCTCACACTTTCAGTAATGTCAAGTAAAACATTTCCTTTTGCGAACTACGTTTGCAGTTCAAAGACAAAAGTGACTAGCCACTTTCGAACGTGTGAGAGAGCTTGTTGTGTCCAACTGCTGCACCCGCTAGAGTGCCTTGGTGTCGGAAAAACACTGGTCAACAAGGAACAAAACAGCCTTATCACGAACAAGCCAGTACATAAGTTAAAAGGGACTTCGTCCTACTTAAAGTGCAGGCCCTCCGATCGGCATTTGTTGAACGCCCATCATCATCGACTGTGCTTAAATGGAACGCCTGTGTACATATCATCGTCTGTAGTGTTTCTGTGGCACGCCTGAACGCTCGTCCCCCGTTGCTGAATTGATTGATTAATTGAGCGTTCAATTGATAGCTGACTTTCCTCAAAGATATCGATGAAATTTTGGAGCAGAGAGCACCTTTTCTAAACGGAACCAGAGTAAAAGTCATAAGATTTCTTACTGCCAACCGGTGAGCTTAACAATTCTGTTTCCCACAAATATGTTTTGTTCTGGTCGGGTTACCCAGCAAGATGTCAAAAGCAAACAAAGTCTCGTCAAAGTCTCGTTTGTAACGCTTTAACCAAAATGTACTTCAAAGTCGATATTAATGTAAAATGCCGAAGTGAATTCATTTTTATTCCCATATGCCTTTCCGTACAGGTGACAGTTCCATGAATTCTTGTCCGCTTATATCTGAGTATGCTGCTACCGAACGCATGAAAATAACTTGAACCTCTAACGCATTTGTCTTCTCCATTTGGACTCACATCATCCGAGGTCTTTTCTTGATTCCCACTGCCTATGAACCAATTTGCAGTGTTGACAGCTTTCTGGAATTACTCTGTGTAGTATCCGACCGAGCTTCAAACACTCGAAATCTGGTTCACCTGTGCCGACCTCGGAATGTATTGGTGCTGAATTAAGATTCTGGACATTTCGCAATATTCTGCAATTTAGCCCAGTCGTATGTGGACTTCCTTCCTAACTACTGTTGTAACGGTGATACTACTATGGGGAGGCATGTGAGTAGTATGTTTTCTTCTCGTAAGTTCGCCTTGCGTCTCTTGAATAGGGAGATCTGTTGCGGAATTTGTGGAGTCTCTTTGTAGCATTTGATTGCATTTGAGCAACAGTCAATGAATATCCAGGAAAGTTCGGGAAGACGCGTTCAAGTAGAAGATGGATATTCAGTTTTTGTAAACAAGTTGCATATGAGAGATTTGCTTCTCTGTCCTATAGTCTGTAACTATTCAGTTGGTTTTTCTCTAATAGACAACCCCGCAGCGAAGGCTTGCTTCCTTTCACTGTTAACAAGTAGTGCTTTGGGTTGTCAAAAACTGTATTATCGAATTACTCCCCTGTTTTTGTGCCATCTCGCCAACTACCTTCATGATATTTGATTTCAGTGATAAGGTAGGAATAAGGATGGA